GCTTAATATGTTATGACTTTTGAGGATTATTCACTATCTAGTTTTAGTATCTATTATTTGCTTTTTGATTCAAGAATTGAAATATTTGCTTAATATGTTATTTTTAATGAGTTCTTAGCCATTTATCTATGCCTACTTTATTTTTTTTATTTATGTGTTAAATTGCGCTTCACATGAAAAAAGCGCGCGCTTCGGTGAAGCGAGGACTCGTCGCTTTTTTGCGCTTAACGCTTTCCAAAACACTGGGTGGTCGTGGTGGTGGAGGTAATAAGCGTTGTGATAGATTTGGTGGCTGATTTTGAACCACCAAGCATTCAACTAATTCAATCAAATTCTCCATTGATTACTTCAGGCCATTTAGCTGCACTTTAATTTCTTCATCGTCTCGTTCAAAGACTGTAGTTCTTAATTTTTGAATTTTTAATTGAAGATCGATTAGAGAGAATCCCGAACTTGCTACTAGCTTGTCTGGGGACATGACGAATAAGATAGTAAACTAAGAATTCAAAATTGGAACCTATGCTCGAATACCAAATTGATGTACTTTCAAGGTTTCGTACCTCTCAAGCACAAAAAACAAAACCCCGCTAAATTTTTTCACAAAAATAGCGAAAATACTCACGTAAGAAGAATGTAAAATGAAAAGAACCTTACTCACACGTTCTTCAATCCCGCAAGATTGCAAGAAGCGTTGAATAAAGAAAGACGAGCCAACCAAAAGAGAAATCACGTTTTTGAAGCAAGAGCTTAGAAAAACTAATCTCTAACCTTTATTTTCAGCATATTGAGCCCTTTACGTAGGCCTTACAATAAGTAAAATTGATGAGACTAGGGAAAATTAATCCTAATTGAACTAGACTAAGAATAAGGTTAAGAAAAGCCCATTCTAACTAAAATAGGAAAAGGAATTCTAATAGGAATGGGATACCAACTATCAATCATAGTTTGACATGAACTACGAATATAATCCTACTAAAAGAGGAAATAAGAAATCCTAATCTTTATGGAAAAGAAATCCTAATCTTAAATGGATTCTTGTACTTGTTGATTTCTTGGATTCTAGGCCTTCTTGATCTTGCATCAAGAAATCAGATAAGGTCTCCTAAAAGGAAAGATTATCGAAGTTGAAGCATCAGTAAACTAAGATAGGCTAGGACGCACATTATATGCACGTTTGTGACATGACAACTCTTTAAGGACTAAAGTAGGTCACACATGGAAAAGAATCCAATTCAACTTCCCCCTCTCCACAAAACTAACATACAACTAAAATGAAAAAAAACTTATCACATAAAAACGAAAGGTCATGAAGAACATGTCAGTAAGAAGAACATCACAGAGCTCGATGTGAGGTAGAGATGCACATTACTTTGCATGTGGTTCACTTGAATAACGCATCATTGCAGGAATGAGCTTTCTCGGGTTCAAACTTTTAGTGGTCATCCATGACTCAACAGTTTCATATGCATCAAGCATGATGAGGTCTGGCGCAAACTTGTACTGTAATAGAACAAAAGAATCATCACTTCAAGCAATAAAAATTTCACAGATTCCGGCTAAGAAGTTCTCAGCCAAGTAGGGCATGGTGCTTTACAGTAGAACTTAATAGTTTTTAATGATACCTGAAGTTCCATTGAAACATTAGGCTTCTGAAGAACCTGTAACGCCTTCTTCGCTTCTCCTTGCTGAGTATTTACATGGAAAAAGAAAGACAAATTAGGTTTCACGCCAACAGTCAACTAATGCACCAAGTTAGTGTTACTATGAGCACAAAATGCAGAACGCATCCAAAAAGATCCAAGAATTATTTTTCTTTCCTTAGTCTTATTCATAAGTGTGCATAAAGCAGAAGCATGCAAGTTGACAGAAGTTCATGCTATATGCCTATTGCAATCTCAAAGAAAGAAACTTCGTTTCTCAGGAAATTCGCACAGCGGAAGATCCTGAAGTTGAGACGTTCTACACCAAAAATATTCTCTTAAATAAAGATATTCGTGCTTGGATGGCGGCCCAAGATCAGCCTTCATGAAAACCTTATAACTCCTATTTTGTAGCTGCTGCGCAGCTATTTATTTATTGTAGGTAAATGTTTTAAACATTTTTGCTGTGATGTTCAAGAATGGTTCAGAATGTAAGTGTTCATACGAGGTTGGGGTGGGGTTGGACCAAGATCTCCAAAGATTATACAAGGAAAAAGGTAGAGGAATCAGTAAATAAAATACGTGTTATATGCATCAAACACTCTCCAGAGGAGTCCATTGAAAATGAGTGTAGACTGGGAAGTCCAAGCAAAATGCAAATATCACTCCATATCATCTGCACATTTAAGAGTATAACCCGAAGAAGAGAGCACCATGGCAGAGTACACTACTAACAGTATAACAAGGTTCACTCTCTGAAAGTAAAGAGGCTACCAGAAGAACAGTAGCTCTGAAGCTCCAGTACAACCTCAAAAATGGGTACTACTAGCAAATCTCAATGTTCTTCCAACTCACAGTATGCCATAGTATCGTTAAAAAAAACATGTAATTATTCCAAATCTGCACCAACTCTTATGCCTTTTAACCACCCACTTCCACGACCTTATTCGACATCCCACTCTCAAGCATTCCATGACAATAATAAAAAGCAAGGTAGAGAGAGTAGATCACCATGTTGCATACAACTGTATGAAGAGAAAGATACGTTAACGACTCCCTATGAGAAGGATCAGAAATCATACTCTTGAAATGTGAAATAGGTCCTTGGGACCCATTCAATGTTAAATCTAATTCTTAACAGTATATTTAAGTCTTGAGAGAAAACTGAACTAACAGTCATACGCGCAAATTACCCCCAAGTACTCGCACCTAACTCTGAATCTAAACATTCACGACCGACAAATGATTTGTGAACTTTGGACTTAGAGAGAGAAAGAGACTCCTACTTCTCTATAGAAGCAAGGAAATTCAACCTTTAGTTTTATAAAGATGTCTTGACTTGGCCAGCTCGGGACATGGAAGAAAGCTGTCGGAAAGTGAAAGCCGGTTTAGAAACCAGGTTTAGAATCCAAATAAATACGCAGAGAGAAGAAAAATACTTTTGAGAACTTTCTTAGTGAGTAACTTGCAAGGTGGGTTGGTTCTTCAGAGATGATCTCAGACTGGACAGCTGAAGCTTGGCGAATGAAAATGGGATTAACATCAAAGCAGGACTGTACTTTCTTTTTTAGATTTTACAAGGGAAGCTAGAGGGTTTTTCAAGAAGTCCAAAAATGGATGAAATGGGAGTATTTGAAGCTGGAGAGATTGTCAAGGTGTAGGCTATGTAGAGAAAAGGGTATGCGAAGGTGTTATTGCAGTGAATATTTTCAGCGTTTCGGCGCACACGTGGAGTGTGGACTTGTTTAGAAGGGTGGGGGATATCTGTGGCGCATGAACGATATGTCCAGAGTGAGTTTGTGAAGAAAGGGGGAAAATTCCAGTATCCATGGTGATGGTGGCTAGGGAACTCTGTTACTGGTTATGACTTTCCGAATTTGAGCCGGAGGTGCTTAATGCTAATGGGGAGGTGCACAGAAGTAAGGAATGGAGGAAGTGAAGGGATCGTATGGGGGAGAACAGTCGGAGTTCAGAAAATTTGAAGGACGGACTGTCTAGCTGAAAATATGGTGTTCAAGCCGGTAACAGTTGATTGGAATGAAATGGAGGAGGGGGAATCAAATTGGTAAAAATTAAATATAGAATAAAAATGAAAGGACAGCAATACCCCAGGATTAGTGAACCGGTTTAGAGAAAATTTTGAAGTGATTCACTGAAAACTCTGGCTTTAACCGTGAGAACCATCTGGGCCGACCGGTCCAAAGTATATCCCCCCAGAAATCCCCCCTGGAACGAAAGTGTCACTGATTGATGATCACTATTAGGCAGTGATAGCACCAGAAAAAGCCATGGCACCACATGGTAGAGCTCATAGATGACCATTAATGGAGTACAATCAAAGGGAAAGGTGAAGGGAAGTGTCCTGAGGCTCAAAAGAGTGTCCAAACTCGATGGGCTCACTTCCTCCCGCGAGTAGTAAGCCAGGCAGCAGTTGCGAGGCAGTTGAAAGGGTCGTCCGAAGTTGGTGGGAGCTGGAACAAGCCAAAAATGCAAAGAAAGCCACATAACCTTTATTTCTTCAATTTCAGAAAGAGCGACAGGCTTAGGTAAAAGAAAGGAAGAGCTGAAAAGTACTGGAAGATGTCTTCCAAAGCACGATACTTATTTTTCTAGGTCAAACCCCATGCAAAATGTTTCTTGGCAGTCATTGAAAAGTCGATATTGTTGAATTTTCTGATGGTCGGGCACTAATCAGTGGCATTTAAGGTGCAAGGAGATCAGGGGTTGGTAGAAAGGGATGGGGTGGTGGAGGAGCAGCAAAAACAGGTTGATAGTTGAGGGCAGGCGGCGAACTCACTTGTCCCAACTTTGGGATGTTTTGGAGTTTCATTTGAAGGAAAGGTGGATAAAGTTATTGGACACTTACTTGATATAGAATAACAGAACAAGAGTCAAAAGGAGATGTAGGTGTAGAAACAAAAATTTTAAGAGGGGAAGAGGCACTAGAGGGCGACACAAAAAGGGGATGGCAATATGGTGTCTACGATAGGAGGAATAAGGAGATGGGAAGGGGAAAGGAGGTGGGAAAAGAAATAGTTTTGTTTGATGGATATTAAAATCATTAGTTGAAATGTTTTAGAGGGATGACTGACTCGAACAAAAGGGCTGTCATCAAGGTGCAGATTAGAGAATGATGGGGTAGCGTTGCTGTCTTTTCAGGAAACTAAAATGGGAACGGCGTAGGATAGTGTTGTGAGAAATGTGTGAGGAGGAGATGGGTAAAATATGACTTTATACCTGCTAGGGGGAGCTCTGGAGAAATACTTTTACTTTGGGATGAAAAGAAGTTAGATAATATGGAGGTGAATAAAGGGGGGCTCATGTTAGTAGCGCGATTTAGAAATATGGGAAATGGGATGGAGTGGAGATTCCAGATGTGTATAGTCCTGTGGGGCAAGGGTCTAAGATAACTTGAGATGAGATGGTGGGTGTTTTGAGGGAAAGGAATATTCCAGGATGCTGGGAGGGGACTTTAACACTATTAGATTCCCGGTGGAAAGGCTTGGTTGCAGGGTGATGCCTAGGTTAATGGAGGAGTTCTCGAAATTTATATAACACCATTTTCTTATTGGTCTTCTTTTGCCAGATTCACTTGGCCCATGTTGGAGGACTCAATATCTAGATCGATTCTTGGTATCCGATACCTGAGAGGAGTTGTCTCCGAATGCGACACAGATTCCCCTTCCTCTATTGATAATACTATGTCTCCAAGAGGTCCAAACACTATTTCCTCTAACAGATCTGTATAACTGGACAAGTATGGAGGATACAAAGGTAATGATTAAGAGATCTTACATATTTACCAAAAGCTGATTGAGGAAATCTTACTTAAGGGAGTCAAGTCCATCTCTACTTTTGTACACTTGCAGTATCCCCTTTGTGCTGAAATCAATTGCATCTATTCTGGAGAAGGTGGTTTAATAAGCCTGTCCTCTTGCAGAGGCAAGTCGAGCCCCTCAATCCTCGAAGAAGAGCGAAACTTCCCAGATTGGTTTTAGTGTGCAGTGATTTTTAACTTTTTCTAAGATAACCCTCCATGTTGATCAATGAGTGCACTCTGGTAGATCCTAAAAATCGCTCACATCCAATAATTCTTCCCATATCCAATCTCCAACAATTCCGAGTGGGGAATATTCTCCTTAAAAAAGGATGGCTAAATTGAGCTAAATAGATTCCCAAAATCAGGAAGTTGAATGGTTAGCAATCATTTTGTCGTAACAATTGAAACCTATGTTGTCTCACATCAAAGAATTCCCCCGGACAGCCGATTGCAACTACAGCCATCCAGTTCATGCCGTGCTAACTGGAACTCTCTATCAGAATAGGAAATGCATCCAGTTAACGATGCAAACTTATACTCTAAAATGGTCAATTTCAGTACTTCATTAATCGTGACTGGTCAGAATTTCAAATCCACATCTCCAAACTTACTTCCAGGTAGCGGTCGGTTCAAGAATTCCAATCTAATCTTCACTAACCTATCCGTCAACTTCAACATCATAACCTTAGTCCTCTGAAGAGTTGAAGATAAAGGTGATCCACTGGCCAAGATTTCCTCATTTGTACCTGTACATAACTCATGGAGGCAGAAAACTGGCTCATCACCAGTTGCCAGCCAATCACCTGCCAGACAAATCCTCATGCTTTGGAGCCATGTCCACCTACCCTATGTTAATTTTGAACCACAAGGAAATCCACTGAACGGTAGAAATACTGAACAACATATGGTATCATAAACATGCTCCAAACTGCTCCATTTTCAGCAAATCTTACCTTTACCTTCTGATCATAGCTCCAATTAAGTGGTAGCACCCCAGAAACTTATATCCTCGACCAAATTGTGCTAATGAATTGTTTCCTGCATTCAAATATTTCATCTCAAGTCTTCTCAATGTTATGTTTGACTACCTCTGAGGACTTTAGCCAAGCTGTGAAGAAAGTCATCCTCACATATAATTTGTGGATTAGAGGAGAGAGCACTATAAACGATTTCATAGTGGCCGTAGTCTATCTCTTGACATTGACCTCATGAATAACACATAGGTCAAGGGGAATATCTCATATCTCTCATTGCATAAAATAGTTGAAAGCCCCACACGAGGAAGCCCCAATAATAAGATTGCCGTTTCGCAATCTAATGACATCCGACAGGAATACTTGCGAGAATTCTATTATACACCAGATCTAGGAAGAAACTCTAGCATGAAAGACAACATTCCACCTCTGATTGTGGAGGGAAATAATTTGCACCAAACAAAGGAAAAATAAGACAAGTATCCAAAATATAAACATTCCTCTGGCAACCCCTTACAAAAATAAAGAACAGCATAAAAGTGGAGATAGAGAAATTATTTAACAAATGAAAAAAGACAAGCCAATGAAGTAAACCAGCATCTCAAAAGATACATAAAAATAACAAACCTGAATGTAGTGGTGAAGCACAATTTCGTATTGCTCCTTTAGACTAGCAAAGAACACTAATTCGTCAACCCTACCGTAGCTACAACAGAAAAAGTAACAACATAGAGGACAAAAGGTCAGCCAAAAACTACTACAACATATTAGGGAAGGAACAAATGACAAATATATGAAGGGAAGAACATTGAACTTTTACAAAGAAAGAGTCCCTTCTTTCTAAAGAGTTCCTTCTTTCTTTTCCCCAGATAACAATAGATTTCATATCGTTTCATGAGATTTCAGCCTGAAAAAGGTTGCGGGTCACAGCACTTAAAACGCCAAACATGTACGCGAGGTGAGACTATGACATGCTCACTTGTACAATCAGCAATTAGCATGATATGAAAAATACGTACTATGTTTCTTGGAGGAGGAGGAGATAAAAAAGATGAGTAATTGGACTGAAAAGAGCAAAAATTTATAAGAATCAGATTGTAAACCAAGCAAGAGATCAATTGCCAAATAAGCTACCTTTCCAGTAGCTTCATTGTGGTTGCTTCATCCAATACATCCTTGCAGTCACTTAGGAAAGCACGAAACTCCTTAATGAGTGATTGGTACTCGGTATTATTACTGTCCAATGCACTGTCATCTTCCAGAAGCAGCCGATTGATCTGCAACAAGATGTACGAAATCAAATCTAGAAAAGGCCAATCATCCATGTTCAAATAACAGCCACCATGTAATCACTTAAAGAATACACTTTGGTCTGAAGACGGATAAGTGGAATCATTCCATAATGTTCAGCTTCCTCATATCACATTATGAGAGCAAAAACGAGAGATATTGATGATTTAGTCATTTGGTACGAATGACGGGCCAATATATAGGTGTCAGACACAATACATACATGATACTTGTAAATATGACAATATCTAACTTAAAGTTTAATATTTAAACATTCTAGATTTTGATATCCGATTACAAATGAACATTATAACTTCCATCCTCAAACTCGAGATGGAGAAACATAGAAAAATAAATAGTTGTCTGAATAACAGAAAGTCGCCAAAAACAATCAAAGTCCAACCAAGAGGTTTTGGAGAGATTCAATGCTGAAGCGCTGAGGCGGATCCAGAATTTGGAGTTCCGGGTGCCAGTGCTTAGAACATAGATATGTTGCAATTTATACAGTCCAAATATGGTATATATTTGGTCGGTTTGATCTATTTTGAGTTTCGGTTCGGGTTATTCATCTTTTCCATTTATGTAGACAAACCAATCGAACGAAAAATTTAATAATTATGACAACTTGGAGCAAAGTATAAAACTTCAATAATTTTACTAATATCATAAAAGTACATCATTCATTTGCAATTATACTCGACGAATTTCATATTCTGAAAACTGCCACTAGAATTAGAAACACTTTCTTACAAAACAAAAGTTTAATCCAACTCAATTTAGTAATTTAGTACAATCCCAGAATTAAAATATGGAGTATGTATTTTGTACAAGAAAAAAGAGTTCGCTATCGATGCATATTTAGATACTCAAAGCAGACGCCGAAAGATATAAGAAGAGTGAAAAAAGAAATACATTTGTCGAACGACCAACCAATAGGTGAAACCTTGAAAGTTACTTAGTCTCTACTACGATCATAGAGATTCTGACATCATGTGGGAAAATAAGAGAAGAAAAGAAATATATAAATGATTTGGATGACCTGATGAATACAAGACACACCAAATTACAAGTGTCAGATACAATACATCTGTTATTATTTTTTTTTTTGATAAGTAATTAAAGATATTATAAATTTATGCACTAAGCCAGTGCATCAGGCATAATTACAGGTTGTGCAAACCCTCTATTGTATCTAGCATTCCATCTACATCATGTTCAATTACCAGGTTGCACCAAAAAGCTAACAAAAAAATACATCTCTGTTTAAGGCTGTGAATATTGCTCGACGTGCCTTCAAAAATTCTATTGTTTCTTTCAAGCCAGACAGTCCATCAGATGGCTTGAGGTATGGTATTCCAAGTTCTTAGAGATTTCTTACTAATCCCCTCTCTGCTCCAACCTTGCAAGAGCTCAACAATTGATTTTGGCATGGCCCAACTCATGCCCAAAATTACCAGAAACATATTCCACAGCTGCCTAGTGACCCTACAATGCAAGAAGAGATGGCCAATTTCTTCCGGATGCTCTTCACACAATGGACATCTACTGCACAGTTGAAACCCCCTCTTTTGGAGGTTTGATTGTGTAAGACAAGCCTCCCGAGCAAGAATCCAAGAGAAACAAGCAACCTTTAAAGGAGCCTTGCTTCTCCAAACCTTTTCCCAAGGACATAATACCCCGTCGCTGATAGAATCCAGCATGTGGTAACAACTTTTGACTGAAAAGAGACGATATCTAACTTACAAAAATAACACTTCGTCATTTCTTATATTCTATTTCTAACACTATAACACAACACTCAACATTTTAACACCCAAAACCAAAGCATTTAAATATAATTAAAAGCTTCATATCCCACATACATTTTCCATTTAGAGTGCTTATTCTCTTCTGAGTTTGTTAATGGTGATCAGTCATCACCCCAGCTACTTTCCCACTCTTAATCCTACGACCTAGAACTTTAGCAATAACTAGCTTAGTAACTCTATTTGATATAAAGACTCGCTAAGTGACAAAAATGATTAACAATGAGTCAGAAGTTAGCCCGTGGCTTAGCAGGGCAGATCCAGAACTTGACCGCAGTAGGTCCTACTAAAGGTTAAAAAAGGACAGCATTGTGTGCTAAACTTCCATTATACACGGCGCTTGAGGAAGATCAAGACACAAAGGATCTATTGTATACAATCTTACTTTACATTCCTGCAAGAGGTTTCCACGGCTTGACCCGTAACCTCTTGTTTCTACTAAAGCCTGAAGCTAACAAAAACATAAAAAGAATGCAACTTGTCAAACGCAAATCGCATGTTATCAGTCCCCACTCTCAAGGGTTTCACCAATGAAGCAAAGTAGTTAAAAGCAAAAAGCACCAAAAAAATGCCAAATTTTATTGAGGCTTTAAGCACAAAGCTGAACTAACATGTGGACCTTAACGAACAAAGGCGCTAAGAAAAGATTTCATATGTAATGCAATTAAAAGTAACTACAAAGTACAAACAATGACTATTAGGACAAAAGAATTCAAATAACTATATTTAAGCTAATTATAGGAAGAAAAAATGGGAAAAAGCATTAAAAAAATTCCAAATCTAAAGTAAGCGCCTATGACCTCTATACTTGTCCAAAGTGAAACTATTATCACCTTGAGGCATGGACAAGCAGACTTGTGGTAGGCAGTGCTATCTACGTGTCATCGCGTGTATATCCCGTTAAAGACTTTTTTCATCTTTCTTTCTTCCTCGAAAAATGGATGTGTGCTGGAGTTTTGGTTATCCAACCAAGCTTTTCCTTTCAGACATGGAGTTTAAGAGTTTGGTAGAACAAAAGGAGATGAGAGGGAGTAAGAGAGGTGTTTTGGGTAAAGAAAAAGGGAAGGAGATTGGTTTGCCGACAATGGAGTTCGCTAGCACTTCCCGTAATTTCCTTTTCGGAATGGAGTTTTGGTTTCCCTTTTCAAATCTAGAGATTAATTCTCCGACTAAAAAATGGATTTGAGAGAGAGTGATATGTGAGAAGGCACGGGAGAAAAATATGATATATATTGATATATTTTGTGTGATGCAATACAAGAGGTGCTATTTATAGCTACTCTATACAAAGGGATACTACTCCTATTCCAATGTGGGACAATTACATAGCTATCTCTAACACTCCCCCTCAAGCCGGAGCATATAAATCATATGTACCAAGCTTGTTACATATATAATCAATGCGAGGACTAGTGAGGGACTTGGTGAAAATATCTGCAAGTTGATCATTCGATCTCACAAACTTCGTAGATCTCCTGAGAGTATCTTTTCTCTGACGAAGTGACAATCAATCTCAATGTGTTTAGTTCTCTCATGAAACACCGGATTTGATGCAATATGAAGTGCAGCTT